TCAGAGGGCTTTAGCTTCTTAACCGCCTTTTTCTCCCATATTTTTTTCTCAACTCATCTTTCGGTCAACATTTTATTCAAGGGCAACCTGCATATTCTCTAGGTCAATAGATTTCAACATCGAATCAGATCCTTTCTCCATAAGAACAACACAAAGTCAAGCGGATGTAGGGAGGGACAGACTTTAGATACCAAGAATCGTCCACCATGCTCTATATATAAAGGTAATGGGCATGGAAATCTAGGAAGTCTAATGTAGGGAGGGACAGACTTCAAGAATCAAGGTAATGGGCATGGAAATCTAGGAAGTCTAATGTAGGGAGGGACAGACTTCAAGAATCAAGGTAATGGGCATGGAAATCTAGGAAGTCTAATGTAGGAAGGGACAGACTTCAAGAATCGTCCACCATGCTCTATATATAAAGGTAATGGGCATGGAAATCTAGGAAGTCTAATGTAGGGAGGGACAGACTTTAGATACCAAGAATCGTCCACCATGCAATATATATAAAGGTAATGGGCTGGAAATCTAGGAAGTCTAATCATTGCATTAAATTATGATTAATAAGATTTGATTTACTACATTTAAAATTTCATTATCCTTATCATATATGTCGCTATCAAGGAGAAAGAAAATTGGGAAACTTAATGTGTAAACCAAAAAATAATTTGCATGAATATCATGGCAATCATTCTATCCAAATTAAAAGAAATAAAATTGGGATCATCCCTCTGACAAAAAAGCTATGAAAAATCATAAAGTTGGTCAGTTGAAAACCACCAGTAGATTGGCAGCAAGCTGACCAAAGAGTAGACGGTCGATTGAAGGCAAGTTAAACAACCAAAGGCAGGTCAACAAGAGAAGAATACAACCCAAAGACCAAACAAAGGTTTAATATCCCCAACAATCTCAAAAGTATCAATGTGACTCTCACAACAACTCCCTTACAAAATTCCCAAAATCCTCAAAAAATAACCAATGAACAGGCAGGTCGATCGGGCACCCTAAGGCCAATTAGCTGCCTCTCTCAAAGCTGGTTGACTTCCCAAAATGATGGCCAACCGTTATACAAGAAAAACAGCTGACGGACACCTGCTTAGTTGATCGACTCGAGGACCAGTCAACCAGAAGGTCTGGGTACGTTAAATGATGCAAAAATCAGTTACAAATAGGTAAAGACAAAACGAAAAATAATGTCCTATAACACCTCTTTTAAGGCATGAGCAGATATGTAATTTTTCTCATTTGGGTTTCACTTCTATAAATAGGGGGTTTATAGCACGTATTATGGGTTTTTTACCTCTCTAGGCTCTACCTCCGTAGGCTCCTCTCAAGACCCACTCTTGTACAGAGATCTTTTTCCCCTTCTTTCTCTTGTAACTCCTAGTTACAATATATAAAATGGGTCATAGAACCCGAAAATACCCTGTTTGCCTCCACGGGGCAAGTCTGTGTGTGTTCTTTTATCCCTCTTTCCTTCTCTGTCACTTTCCCTATTTCTTCCTCAAAGTTCTTACTGCTCTGATCTTTAAGCATGCCTGACAAAACAAACCCTGATTCAACAAAATAATGTGTGAATCTCTTCTGGACTTGTAGGTGTGAGTGGAGCAATTGAATCCAACCCATTAAGGATTTGGGACTAGTTTTCCTTGTAATGAATTGAGACTAATCAGCTGTACGAAATGATCCAAGGATGTTGGTTATTATGGCCCGAACTTTACAAATCTGCATATAAATTTCATTATTAAGATGGCTGGAAATAAGAAACTAATCATACTGCCAATCTGGATTTTGTCATATCTATTTGATTTACGATTTTATGGGGGCATTTACGTACATACCCTCAATTTCCTATCTAAACATTATTTTTTTACAATTATAACACTCCTCATCACATTAAAAATATCACTATTTTAACAAAAAAATAAAATAAAATATACTTATTTATACAATTATAACGTCATATATGTAAAAAAAAGGCTGAGGTGATGGATATGTACATATATAAGAATCGTGGGGCATGTATGTAAAACTTCCTAGTTTTTTTTATATAATATTAGAAGAAAACATTAAATTTACTATAAATAAAAATTATAACACCATATAGTGTTTATTAAATAAGTAATACCTGTTTAGGAACAAGAATTGTCTGTATGCAAGACATTAGATAACTGTCGTTACTATTTTTCTTTTGGCGGGACAAAGTGAGCCAAATCAAGCGTCCATGCGACTAATTGGCTAATTAAACTGCCATATAAATATTATTTTAATTTGATTACCTACAAAAAATTAGATTCTTAAAAAATCATTTTTAATAAAAAGGTAAAGTTTATAACGCGAGCTTCATCTTTTTTTAAAGTAAGAAATATTCCTTTCATTTATTATATTAAAGTTTTAATCTTGCTCATTATGCCCCATAAAAATTTTCCTAAGAAAGTATAATGTTATTGTTAATATTTTATGCAAGAAAAGAGATGAGCATATTATTACTTATAAGAATGGATATAATAAAACACAAATTGATTATTTTCTTATGAGAAGAAGATACCACCGAGAATGTGAAGATTGTAAGGTCATTCCAAGTGGGGATTTAAGTGCTCAACATAGATTATTAGTCTAAATTTTAAGATGAAGATTAGTAAAATAAAGAATATTAGGAATCATTGTCGTAGAATTAGAAGGGAGTACCTAAAAAACATAAATATATATTTTTTTTTATGAATAAAATTCAAGATTTCAAAGTTTGGGATGTTCATGAAGAAGCAAATTTTGTGTGGGATAAAGTAACAAATACTATTAAACAAATGACAAAAATTGTGTGCTCGGAGAATCAAAAGTAAAAGTTTCTAAAAATAAAAATAGTTGATGGTTGAATAATAATGTGCAAGAAAAGATAAAATATAAGAAGTTATGTTATATAAATTGGTTTAAATGCAAAAAACTTAGAGAACTGAGAAAAATATCAAGTGGCCCGTAGGGAGTCTATGAGAATAATTTGTAATGCTAAAAATTTTTCTTTGAGTGATCTTTATAAGAGATAAGATACAAAGGAGGGTAAAAAATATATGTTTAAACTAGCCAAACGAAGTGAAAAGGAAAGTAAAAAATTTAACTCAAGTAAAGTGCATAAAAGATGAAAATCAAAATTTGTTTTCTTAGAAAATACATTCAAAATATGTGAGCGAGCTATTTTGATATATTTTTTAATGAAGTTTCAAAAAATACGATCGACCTTAGTGATCTTAATATCATTATTAATAAAAAAATATTTCATTTTTACGACCATATTAATAAAAGAGAAATTGAGGAGACTTTAAATAAAATTAAGGGTGGAAAGTCTGTAGGACCTCATGATATTCCAATTGATGATATTGACCTCATGATATTCCAATTGAAGTGTGGAAATATTTAGGATATTTGAGAGTCTTCGGCTTTCTAAACTCTTTAATATTATTTTAAAAACTAATAAGATAACTGAGGAGTGGAGGAAAAGAATTTTGGTCCCTATTTTTAAGAATAAAGGGGATGCACACGATTGTGAAAATTATAGAAGAATTAAGTTGATGTGCATACTTTAAAATTATGGGAGAGGAAGATTGAACATAGGTAAAGAAGTTTTACAAAGATTTCTCATAATCAATTTTGGTTTATGCCGAGAAGGCCTACTATGGAAGCTATACATTTATTGAGAGGTTTGATGGAGAAGTTCAAAGATAATAAGGATGGTCTACATATGTTTTTTTTTTTTTTTAAAGAAAAAGCTTATGATAAGGTTCCAAGAGATATTCTCTAGAGAGTTCTTGAGAAGAAAAGTGTTGATATGAATTATATTCTTATCATTAAAAATATGTATACAAGAGTTGTTACTTGCATTCGAAGAAAAAAGGGATTGACCAAATATTTTCCTATTTTTGTTGGTTTACTTCAGCTATTTTAAGCCCATATCTTTTTGCTTTACTTATGGATGGTCTTACTAGACACTTACATGAGGATGTGTATGCATTTTGCTGATGATATTCTTTTTGTGGATAAGATAAGAGAAAAAGCTCAAAAAACTTGAATTATGGAGGTCTACTTTAGAGTCTAAAGCCTTCGTTTGAGTAGAACTAAAGCTGAACACATGGAATGTATTTTTGGTAGTAATAGCTCTAGTGACAGAGATGTAACTATGAGTTATCAAATTATTAAAAGATGTGAAAGCTTTAGATATTTCAGGTCTATTGTTTAATGTGATGGTGATATTGATGGGGATGTTATTAGTAGAATTCAAGTTAGTTGGTTGGAGTAGAGGGATGTTTTGGGCCTACCATGTGATGAAAAAGTACAGTTTAGACTGAAAGGAAAAATTTATAAAATAGTAGTGAGACTTGCAATGCTCTATGACACTGAATATTGGCATTTAAAAGAGAAGCATAAAACTAGGTGTTGTCGAGATGGAAGGATTGGGTGCATGATTGGCTTTACACTTAAGAGACAAAATGTGAAATGAATATATTCGTGATAGGGCTGGTGTTACTACTGTGACGGATAAAATTAGAGTCGTCTTAGATGGTTTGGTCACATTAAATGTTGAGCATCTAATGATCTGATTAGAAGAGCGGATATTTTAGATTCGACTTATGTTAAGAAAGATAGAGGTAGACCTAGGAAGACTTGGGCATATTGTATAAAAAATGATCGCAATTTATTAGAATTAAATGAAAACAGGAAACTAATAGGACGCACTAGAGAAAAAGGATTCATGTAGCCGGCCCCCCTTCATGGGATAAATATTTTGTTTTTGTTGTTGTTGTAATGTATGACCTTGACGACTACTTTATCAAGCATGAAAACATTTTTATAAAGGTACATGAAAAGAAAATCCCAATGTTTTAAAAAGAGCTCCTAATAACTACAAAAATTAACTAAAAAAGGGGTACCCGTAATCAATATTTGAACTACATCAATAGTAAGTATAATATTTATAGGCTATAAATTTAGGCAAACTTTATCCCCCCTTCATTTTATTGACAAAAGCTGATAAACTTTTAAGAAACATCAACTAATTTGCATTAGGCAACCATATCATTGAAAACATATGATTTATTAATTGAAGAAAAACACACATCTATATCATTTCTTGAGCTATGATTCCCCTTTCCAATCCTTCAATGGGAAGGCGCTCATTGGCGCATGATCTAAAAAATTGCATAAACATTTTCCTCTTATATCTTTACAATAGAAACAAGTAAGAACCTATTTCACAAAATTAGGAAGATTATTTGAGCTTGGAACAGAGTTTGAAGAAGAATTTGCAGGGAGCTCGGCAGTTTTGTTGGGGGAGCGACTTTTTCTGAACCTTACAAATTGACTACTTAAACTTGACCATCCACGAGGTTTCAGTTGGCCCATTAGTTTGAGCTGCTCCCTTCTAAATTTTCTGTTGGCAAACCAAAAGCCACCTCGCCAACCAAGCCCAAATCTACATTGAAATTTTGCAAAATAAATAAGAGCATTTTAACCATAATTTTAACCGCCTCTTAATAAGAAATCCTGTTGCAGAAAGCTATCATAAAATATAAAAAACCTTTTAGATGCAAATTAGGATTTGGGAGTAATAATAATATGTACCAAACCTAAAAATCCTGAAGAAAATAAATCTAGCATATTTTATATTTGATACTACTATGGCTTGATTTTAGAGGAAAATCTCAATGCCAGTGCAAGTACCTAAAGAAAGAAAAAAAGAAAGAGGGATAATTACATACAGACCACCCGAAACATTGATACTTACAAATTAAGCAAACAAGTGATCTTTTTTAACCTCCGAACCGATGTATTTATGCGTGCCACAATCAAACTATTGATAATTTGATAAAAATGAAAAATACGGATTGGGGTTTTACTTTGAATTTTGATATTTGAATGAGAATTTGAAAAATGGATGAAAGAGGTTGATTAATTGTAAATACCAACAATTTGGGAGGTCTGTAATCAGTATCAGATAGGTTTCAAAACCAGTCAATTGACAAAATAATAATAACAATAATAATAATAATAATAACTTGATAAATAAAAAATAAATAAAGTAACCACAAGGAGTTACTATAAAGATAATTAGGTTAATTAGAAAATTGATTATAGATGTGACTCAAGAGAGAGAAGAGACCTGGAAGCAAAATGGATAACGTAAAGAAATTTATACAAGTTGAAACAAACCCAACAATCAAGGAAGTCCCGCCAGTGACCATGAAAGCAGTCGAGCTCACATTGTCAGCATTGACAATCCTTCTGACTTCTTCGCGTTCAACATTATAGCTTTTTATCATCTGCTCACAGAAAAAAGGCCCTATCAAACATAACCTGAGAGAAAATGGCACATCTAAAAAATACAGTAGCAAAGCAATACAGAAAAGGAACAAGCAAAAAAAATCCTATAAGAAAAAAAAAACCCTACTAAGGCCCTCATTGGCCTTTTTAAGGCCCATGCTATTATCCTCCCATTCAACAGCAAATCAACACAAAAAAAAAAAAAAAAAAAAAAAGTGGTGTGGAGGTGTAGATGTTTTCGGAAAACCTTAAAGATATTAAATTAAAAAAAGAACTGAAAAGCACGATAGGTTCCTTATTAAAACACCAACCAAAATCAATATTACAACCAACAAGGACAGCTGAAGTATCGCTGGTTAAAAGTTATATATATAAGAAATATCATAAGAAACATCTAATGATCTAAGGTCGCATTTGATAATAACTTTTGTTAAATGATTATGCATTTTAAGAGGCGAGTATGTTGTTGTAAAAAAAATTAACATATATAAAAGCACAGAAAATAAGATTAAAAAAACAATCTAAGCGACTATGCTCTCTAAAAAACACAATTTTATTGAAAACATTGTTGACAATGATAACATTCCATGGCATCCTTGTTACAATAACAACAACAGCAAAACCCTCATCCCACTAAGTGGGATCCGCTACATGAATCCTTTTTCTCGGTTTCATCCTTATTAATACAAAAAAAATCATGATCATGTATCTTACTTTCAAACATAACGTTAGGTGATTTTGAGAAGAATGTTGTAAAAATTTTCTTTGATTAAAACAATTAACTATTTTCTTCATAATTATTTAATAATTTTAATTGATATCAAGACTTTAATTTTATTCATGAATACATAATTATTAAGTATTAAATTCATTAATTATTTTAAGATAAAATGATACTATTTTATAATAACTACTCATGTTTATTTTGACAAAAATAATCCTAATCATTTTTGACATTACCACAAAATCCTTATTATTTATTAAATATTCAATTATCACATTAACTGATTTTGATGGAAGAATGTTACAGAACCTTTTTTTCTGTATATAAAAATTTAAATTTTATTCAAAGACACGCAATTATTATTTCTATTTAAAATAAAAATAATTGATACTATTTTGTCATTTAACCCATCAAAGTTGTTTTTACCAAGCCAAATTCATCCATTACAACAGTCTAGAAAGTAAAACTAACAGCTCTTTTAAATGTCTTTATATATATATATATATATTAAAGGAATGGTCGGAGGCTATTATACTCGCCTCGGTCATCCCTCATACGCCTAAGAATTCGAGTACCACACTCTACACTTGGGAGGAATCGAACCCTAGACCAGAGGGGACATACAACTGACAAGCAGATACCCGACCAACTGATATGAGTACATGGAAATATATGCACATATATATAGATACACATGCACGCACACAGAATTTTTGTAATAGATGATAAAAACTCATCAATTGCGACTGAGAATAGAGCCGACTGTGCCAAGAAGATGGATAAGCATGTTTTTATTTTACATTACTTCTTTTCATTTTTCCATTATTTTTACTTTTTTATTTTAAAATGCACATGTTATATTTTTTTTATTTGTTAAAATTGGTTAAAGAAAAAGTTAATAAAATAAATAAATAATAAATGATATATACATATGCATATATTGAGTTACCTTGGTATAATATGGCTAGGGAAGCAACATAGCCTTGCTCAAAAAATGAATATGAAAATGAAAATGAAAATGAATGGATAACTTTTGATGGATTTTAGAAATGCTAGGAAATGTGTACTTTTAGGCTTTTAGTATGTGACGATCACTCCTATTTGATGGATGATATATATTAAACAAAAGTAATAATCAAACTAAATTATTTATTGTTATTTGTTACTGTTTATTATATTTTATAAAAATAATTTAAAATATGAATTATTGTAATTTAGAGGTATTTTACCCAGTTAACCATTAACTCATACCTCTAATTACTAAAATTTTTCAGGGTAATCTAATTTAGAGTAAATGGATCCTATAGATTAAGTTTATTGACATCGAGGAGCCTAGAGAGATAAATACAACATTTCAATTTTTCTATTTCTACCATTTATAAAATTTATAAACATGACAAATTTTGCAAGTTAAAATTTTGTTTATGTTTTAGATGATTTTATTTAAGCAACGAAAATGTGTAGATAAAATTTTCTCCGCCCAACCTCCCATTTTCGTCTTGGAATTCCAAATAATAAGGTAATAAGGCCCATTGAGATTAATTTTATATTTTTGTTTTTCATCTAATTTTTACTTTTGTTTCTAAGAACATATACATTTACTATACTTTTTACATATTTTTTTATATTTTTATAAATAAATAAAATTAGCCATAAAAACAATTGGAACAACTTTTAAGTGTTTTAAGTATTTAAAAAAACTAAACATACTTTGACATAACATATGTAATTTATTTCAAAATATAATAAAAAAATAAAAAAATTGAAACTAAAATAAAAGTGATTCCAAACAGCCCCTTAGCCCATCGGCATCATAACTAAACACCAAATAAGACTACAAAATGATGCCTTAGATTGCATGTTAAATCATTTATTTCCATGACCACTTTAAATACCTCTTGAAATATATTAGATGATAAGTTGTCTAAAAATAATCAAACCGTGATTTATGGTACAAATTAATAATATAATTTGATTGATTAAATTCCCACTAAATCTACTGAATTTATTAAATAAAATTCTGTATGTCAATTTTTAATTGATTAATGATAGTATTTTATTAATCACAATTATCTTGTTAAGGGAATTTGAGCTTACTTTTTATTCTATTGAATTCATTGAGTTGTTTGTATGTGATTTCATGGATAATATTATAATTTTTGCATTTAGAATTAACCATTTATAATAAAAATAAGAACTTCCACTTATTTATGAAACTATCTCCGTTAAATAACAAAATTGATGTTTGGTGAAAATTTGGAATTTATAATGAGTTGTTAGGAGCTTGATTGTCCTCATATCTTTGTATAAATAAAGTGCTCTAGTTGACTCGAAATAAGCCAAAGAGGAATGTTATGTTAGACTGCCTTCATGGCAACATCATTTATAAGAGAAAATTAAATCGTAAAAAGCAAAGAGTTCATGTTGAACAAATTCCTTAAAGCAACATTTGGTGAGAACTCACCCAAATTTTTTAATGCCTTGCATGGTATATATATATATATATATTCATGGTGGGTGGATTTACCACTTCCCCTCCCTCTGATTCTGGGGAGAGAGTTCTTTTTTTCTTCTTTATAGATTTGTAAACTTGTCATTCATCTCCAAGTGTTTATCCCATCTGATCTATTTGTGAATCTTCGATGGAGAGCTCACTTTGGGGGGTATGTTGATCCATAAATTGTTGAGCAGTCTCAACCTGCAGCACACCTTGATCATGGCGCTCCTCCAGGGCTTGATTACCCTCTTCTCTAGAGATAGGTGGTTCCAAAACACATCGGCTAGCATCTGCAACAACCAAATTCGTAGTTCAACAGCAGTGGGAAGTAGCTGCAGATCTGGTTGGTGAGGAATAGCCCAATGAGACAAATTTTCATTAAACATTTCTGGAAGATCTATCATTCATCTCCAAGTGTTTATCCCATCTGATCTATTTGTGAATCTTCGATGGAGAGCTCACTTTGGGGGGTATGTTGATCCATAAATTGTTGAGCAGTCTCAACCTGCAGCACACCTTGATCATGGCGCTCCTCCAGGGCTTGATTACCCTCTTCTCTAGAGATAGGTGGTTCCAAAACACATCGGCTAGCATCTGCAACAACCAAATTCGTAGTTCAACAGCAGTGGGAAGTAGCTGCAGATCTGGTTGGTGAGGAATAGCCCAATGAGACAAATTTTCATTAAACATTTCTGGAAGATCTACAGTTTCTGCTATATTTTCCTCCACTTGGGTGATGTTATTAGGAACTGCAGAATCCAAATGCACAAAAAAGTTGGATCTCAAATGTGGATGAAACCTGAAATATTTGGCAGGTGTGTGTCCAATCAGTTTATAGTGATTACAGTAATAAGGTCTTTGTTCTGCGACAATTGGCTACCAATACTCATTGTGGGCAGTACAAGTCATATTTCTTCCACATCAGAGAGGGTGATATTTATTTCAACAAGAATCCTTGCAACTGAAGGCCTAGATAGGTTAAAGGTGGGTATGTCCAATTTCATAGGTCTCCTTAATGCAGCTCAATAGAATAGAGGACTTGTGATTAATATAGTGCAACTTTAGGCCAGGTAGTTTAAACTAGATTGGGACTATAGGGGATTCATGGCAAGGATCGAATTCAAGAGACCACTTGAGCAATTTCATAAATTTCCCATCAATTGTCATATACTTCATGGAAAATATTTTGGCATAGTCCTCTACTTTGGATAATTGTATCACCAAATGTCTCCCATCAAAGAGACCAACCTTCCAATGTCCCAAAAGTTTGAGATTTTCAAAATCCTTTCAAATGATTTCCATTTTAGAATGTCCCAATTGGAACTTCCCAATGAGGGTAAATTTGCACTTATCAACCAAGTTGGAAACTTCAACATAAGAGAAAATTAGAGCTAGTTTGTCACTCTTTCTACAAACCTTCTTGATGAGGTTACAGTCTCCTGGCCTTCAAATGATTCATTATAAACCTGAGGGAAAAGCTAATCTATTGATCCCAGAGAAACAGTCATATCAGCATAAGCAGCCTTCCCAAGATTTAAAATTGAAGCAGTCAGTGGTTGAGGAACAGAAGCCATAAAGCTGAGAGTCGATCAGCGGGTAGCAAATGGGTAGAGTTGTGACTTCTACCAGAGCTCTCATGTGTTTTGTTGTTGTATAGAGCCGAATGCCTTCTTTGATGCTCGATCCGTAGAGTAGAGATCAAGTGATGCAGGAAGATTACGGCACAGGAAGAATCGCGACACTGTGCAAGGAAAGCTCGCGACAATTGAAGGAGGCGA